GAGAGAGAGAGAGAGAGAGAGGGGGGGAGGGAGAAAGAGAGTGTGAGAGAGAGAGAAATGCAGAAAGAGAAAAGAGAGAAAGAATCAAAATGAATGTTACCCAGTACATCTATTTCTAAGAAATATAAATCATGGACGTGAGGTAATATGAACATGGGCCACGAGCAAAACAAAGAAAGAAACAAATAAACAAACAATCAATAAAAAACAACCAAAAAACCCCTCAAAAAACAAACCCACAATGAATAAAAATCAAAAACATCAGAGTGCTCATTAGGAGAGGTGAAGAGTGACATCGATTCATGTGAAGGTCCTGTTATAAATTAGTACATTATGTAAGTTAGCATCCTTCGTAGTATATTCTGCCTCTTCCAGACGAGACTACGAGTAATAATATGTCATCATCAATGTCTTTCACCCCTGGCAGGGTATAGACCACATACAAGCTCCTTCCATTTATCTCTGTCCCGGGCCATCCTTCCTTGCTCGGTCCAAATGAGCTCATCTCTCTCATGTCCCTTTCCAAGCATCTCCTACATGTTTCGTGACGCCTACCCCTGCCTGGCACTCCTTGTGGGTTCCACTGCAGTGACTGTCTTGTGAAATAATATATGTAATGATAATTTACATGTTTTAAGCCCCCATCAACAATTTTATTTAGAATAGGAGGCGGGTTAGTTTGACTCTGCCTGTCAGAGCCAAGCAGGGATATTATAGCAAACCTTGCGGACTTGCGGAGATAATTTAGGAAAAAAACCTAAAACAACTTTTCCCATTTAGGATTCGAACTCATGTCTTCCGCGTGCTTCGTCGAAGAGACCAACAACGACACCACTTGTGCCGTTAGGATAACGGACTGTTTATTCTGAATGAAGTGCTTCGTGATAGAAAGGGAAAAAAAGTTGAAATTTCACTCCCTAGTGGACATTATTTTGATCATTTTGGAGGCACACTACTTCGATTCTGACAGTCAACACGGACTGAGATGGATACGGTAGAGATACTAAGGAATCGAACTCGCGTCCCGTGGGTGCGACGGCGAAGCAGCGCATAACGGCTGCACCACAGACATCGGTTAGTT